CGATCGTACTATTGCGGTTCTAGCGCTTTCAAGAACCGCTCGGTCCATCTGCTCGATCGCATACGTAGTCGGAGGACGAAAGCCTAAGATTGCATCCATTGTGAGGCTAGAGTACGGTCGACAAAAGAAAGCATAAACCAATTGCCAATCTGGTTGGTCCACACCATACATGCGGCTTTGAAGAGAAAAACGTGAAGCTCTTGTTAACCATTGGCAACGTGTGGACTAGCAAGCAAAAAATGCCTTGCTTTCCTAAATGTATGGTGGATGGCCGGCCCGATTTGGCTGGTCCACACCTTGCATGCATGGAGTCAAGCAAAGGGGGTCGGGCCGAGGGGGTCAGGCTAGAGGGGTCAGACAAAGGGGGTCAGGCTAGGGGGTTCAGATAAAGGGAGTCAGGCTAGGGGGGTCAGGCTAGGGGGGTCAAATAAAGGGAGTCAGGTTAAGGGGGTCAAGCTAGGGTGGTCAGACATTGAGGGGGTCAGGCTAAGGGGGTCAGACAAAGCGGGTCAAGCAAAGGGGATAAAGCGACTTGAAAAATCCATCAGAATTCGGACACTTGGACACTTTCGCGCCATTGATCACACACAAAAAGCGCAGGGAATGGCTGCTGACGTCATCAACAATGGTTGACTTGAGAACTCTCATCAAAAACTCGGATACCGTACCTGGACGCTTTTCGCGCCATCGATCACAGGTGACAGCGCAGAGGAAGGCTGCTGACATCATCCAAGGGGGTCGATTTAATGATTGCCATATGCATGCGACCGACGTCAATTTGCACCAGCTTGAAAACCTTGATGTATAGAACGGTGGTGCAAATTGTCAGCCGCCACGCCGCGCGCTTTTTGGGTATATTGTAGCTGATTGTGGCATTGCCTGCTCACAAGTGTTGACAATCTGCACTGGCTTGAAAGCCTTGATGTATAGAACGGTGGTGCAAATTGTCAGCCGCCACGCCGCGCGCTTTTCGAGTATATTGTAGCTGATTGTGGCACCGCCTGCTCACGAGTGTTGACAATCTGCACCGGCTTGAAAGCCTTGATGTATAGAACGGTGGTGCAAATTGTCAGCCGCCACGCGGCGCGCTTTTCGGGTATATTGTAGCTTATGGACGAATGACTCGGTGTCAATTTGCACTGGCTTGAAAGCTCTGATGTATAGAACGGCGGTGCAAATTGTCAGCCGCCACGTCGGCGCGCACTTTTTGGGATGTTGTAGCTGATGGTGGGAATCCATCGTGATTGACAGATCGCACCGGCAAGATGGGGCCTCGCACGGACCGGGTATCCGCCGTCTCTATGGATGCTCCGTAGCACGTCTACCGAGTACGACAGCCGGTGCATGTGATACGCTGGCCTTTGTTGTGCCGCTTCACACACTTAAGGAGATCGTGAGTCTCCAAGAAGCACCAGATCCAGATCTTTGCAATGATTTGCCTACCAGACGGAAGCCATTTGTGTCGTGCGGTGGGCGTAAGCTTTGAAGGCAGGCAAGCTGCGGTGCGCACCCTTCGACCAGGGCAAGAGCTGCTGCTCGTTAGGGATGCGACGAACGAGCACGATCCGCATTCCATCGCGATCTTCAAGGCGGGAGATCTGGGCTCGCACCTTGGGTTCGTCGGGCGGGACAGCAACCATCACGAGGCGTTTGACGCGGCTCGTGCGGGACGGACACAGTCTGCACTTGTGCACAGCGTCGGCCCCTGCAGCAGCAGCGGACTCTGGGGGTACACCATGAGGGTCGGGGCACCTCATGATAGCTCGAGTATTATTGCATGATTTCGTTGTGGCGCGGTTGACGATCTCTACCATGGTGCTATACACCAGAGCTTTCCGATCGGTGCAAATCCACTCCGATCGACCATAGCCGAAAGCGCGCGGCGTGCCAGGTCGGCTGACAATTTGCACCACTGTTCCATACATCAAGGCTTGCAAAGCGGTGCAGATTGTCAACGCGGAGGCGTTCTCACCTCCAGCTACAACATCACTGCAAAGCGCACGGCATGGCCGGTTGACAATTTGCACCACCATTTTAGATATATCAGAGCTTTCAAACCAGTGGCGATTGACGTCGAGGTGTTTTCGAGATCCACTCCAACATGCCGGAATGCGCCCGGCGTGGCGACTAACAAGATGCACCACTGTGCTAAAGATTATAATCTCAAAGCAGTGCAGATTGTTGACAATGAGGTCTTTCTTCCATCAACTACAACATCGCTGAAAAGTGTGCAACATGGCGGCTGACAATATGCACCCCCGGTCTATACATCAGAGCTTTCAAGCCAGTGCAAATTGTCGTCGAGGTGATTCCACGATCACCTTCTACATGCCGAAATGCCGTCGGCATGGCGGGTGACAATATGCACCACCATGCTATACATCAGAGCTTTTCAACCGGTGCAGATTGACGTCAAGCTGTTTCCACGATCGACGGCTACTACATGCGAGAAAGCGTCCGGCGTGGCGGCTGACAATTTGCACCACCGTTCTATACATCAGAGCTTTCAAGCCAGTGCAAATTGTTGTCGAGGTGTTTCCACGATCACCTTCTACATGCCGGATTGCGCGCAGCATGGTGGGTGACAATATGCACCACCATGCTATACATCAAAACTTTCCAACCGGTGCAGATTGACGTCATGCTGTTTCCACGATCGGCTACTACAGGCGAGAAAGCGCGCGGCATGGCGGGTGACAATATGCACCACCGAGCTATACATCAGAGCTTTCAAACCAGTGCAAATTGTCAACGATGAGGTCTTTCTTCCATTAACTACAACATCGCTGAAAAGTGTGCAGCATGGCGACTGACAATATGCACCCCCGGTCTATACATCAGAGCTTTCAAGCCAGTGCAAATTGTCGTCGAGGTGTTTCCACAATCACCTTCTAAATGCCGGAATGCGCGCGGCATGGCGGGTGACAATATGCACCACCGTGCTATACATCAGAGCTTTCAAACCAATGCAAATTGACATCGAGGTGTCTTCACGATCGGTCACAACAGCTAAAAATGCGTGCAGCGTGATCGGCTACGGGCTCGTATCGACGAAGAAGTCAAATACCTTACAATCGCGGTCAAAACGCGGCTTGATTAATCGCAATGGGCGACATCCTTAGATGTAAGATTCCTAAAATCAACCAAAGCCTACAATAATTAGTGATAGATACTTTCAAATGCAGCTTGACAACCTCAGATATCTCTTTTGAGACTCGCCCCCTTCACCGGCTGATCATGCACTCCACCTCTGCGACCCTCTGCGGGGTGAAAAAACCGTATCGCTCGTGCAAGCCTCGATAGATTGCGGGCGTCAACAGGTGGGGAGTTTTGAATTTGCCCCCGCTCTTTTTCGCCTTTCGTACCTCGATCCCGAGGCCCGCTCTGAGCACATTCGCCACCGCATTCCGCTTCTGGGCCCATTTCTCGTTCACTCTCCCATCAGCAGCTTTCGAGGGCCTGGAGATCTGTTGCTTGAAGCCGTAGAGATTGAAGATGGTTTTCAAGCGCTCCTTGCTAGGCCCAATGAGCTCCGTATAGGCAGCCTGCACGCGCTCCTCCGACACCTCCCACCGCTCTGACTCGTGGTTCAGCGCCGTCTCCTCGCACTCGACAAGAAAGGCCAGGACGCGCACCGCAAACGGCACACGGTTGACAGGGTCGCGTAGTTCACGGACGTACTCCTGGACCATGTCCGCCTCATTGATCTGGCCGAGCGCTCTGTCCAGGTCTCCGACGAGGGTGTCGAAGCGGTGCTCGCGGAATCTGCAGATTGCAGGGAGCGTTTGAAGCAGCCTGACATTTGACCACGATCGACCCCACGACACAGCCGAACTGTGAAAACAGCCCCAAGATCGCGCCAGAGCCGTGGCAGATTCAAAACGAACCTGACTGCAGGTCTCTGAAATCAGCTTGCCCCGCATCCGAAACATCCTCTGTGACTCTGCGCCCGAACTAGCATGCCCATGGCACGGAACCCAAAGCCCACGCAAGAGCCAACCCAAAATCATAGCAAACCATGCCTCACATCAGCTCGACCACACCAAATCAGGCTCAAGGCGGATCCGAGACCAGCCTAATCGTGCCCCAAATGTAACTGACCGCTGCCCTTGGAACAACCCGAAAAGAAGGCCCACGGCACACCCACAGCAAGACAATAGCAGGCCCTAAACAGCTTGACTTTTGGCGGGATTCGACCTGATCGCACATCAAACAAATGTTTTGAAGTTGAACAGCCAGCAAGCGGGTCAACGAGTGAAAGATACGTGAACTTTGGGTACGTTTGAGTTCCAACACAGTGGAACTCAATGACAGCAAAACTTCGAAGGCTTTCATTGTGGCTTGAGACGACGCGCGATGGGAACAGTGCAGGTACCTCAGATAGTTGGCATGGGCCTCTTTGGTACCCTTCGCTTCGTCCGAGTCGGCGCAAAAGCGGATGTAGAAGGAGTGATCGACTCGGCCAGGGTCGACTCTGTACTCCTTCGTGACCATCTCGTACAAGTATTCTTGCAGCTGCTCCTTCGAAGTCAGGTCGTCGGGTCTCTCGCACAGAATCTCGTACTGCTCCGCACTGATGATGTACTTGGCTCGCCAATCTTTGTCATTCAGAAGCTCTGGGCCCTCATCAAAGCCGAGGGGTACCTCTGGGGGCGGGCGTCCCGGAGTGCCCTGAGAAAGAAGGCAAGGACATGTGACTTAGTATTTGGCGGATGTGATAAGCGATCCTGCATCAATGGTAGAGAGCACGTGACTCTCGATCGTGAAACAATGATGCTATGGTTATCTCCCGCAACGCTGCCCCCTCGTAAAAGACACCTGTCATCCTCTGAACGTGAGCGACACACGCCAATGTGCCCACATACCTGGAGTACTTGTGGGGGAAAGCGCCCTGTTTGAATGCAGAGAAAGTCTGGTTCATGCAAAGAGCCTAGGCCTCGAGGCAGCTGGGCAACCTCACCCTCGGTTCGATGTGCTCAACAGTCACCACAAACCCTTGGTTCTCCAGGTCGGCTCTCAGCTTCGGCACGTACTCCAGGTAGCTTTCGACCTTTGCGAGGATGTTGTTCGCGTACAAGACGCAGCTCGCTGACGAGCGGTCGCAGATGCCCTGCGAACCCCTCAGAAAGTGAAAGCCCGATGCGTCGCCGAGCATCTGCACGATCTGCCTGTCGTCTCGCTCGATCGCCCGAAAGACCGCCTCTGTCGAGCGCGGCAGATCCACTGCTGACGAGATCACCTGCTTGCAATAGATGGTGGAGTCGGTGACCGTCCGAAATCGAGCATGCTGCTGAAGCAGCGTCTCGACTGTTGGACCCGTCAGGTTGTTGAGGGCAAAAGGGACCGTCTCCTCAGCGTGCGGCTTCTCTTTGGAGACACCCGGACCTAGCTTCGGAGAAAAGGCCACGAGATCCGCTTCCAGATAGGTGTCAGGCTCGGCCATCGCCCTCTGGAAGAAATCCTCGTCATCTCTCGACCTTTTGTCCGCGTGCAAAAAGATGCCGCGGCGATCGGACTCGGCGGGTGGGTTGTCGATGTTGAAATGGTGTTCCAGGTTCTTCACGAAGCGCTTGGATGTCGAAGGGCACTGCGCAAAAAGACTACGAGCAGACTTGTCAGCTTTATTGAGCAAGAAGCAGATAAGCGCCAAATCACCGGACTAGAAGCCTTGTTATACCCCAGAAATTCCTGACCGTAGCCCCGTCGATCCCCACCTGACCGCGCCCCAGGAACACTTTGACCGCGGCTCAAAATCAACCCGAACCCAGGCCCACAGCAGACCACAGACGAACAACCGCGCGGGCCGGCCCGAAATCAGGCCCACAGCAGACCACAGACAAACGACCGCACGCCCCCACTGTAACCATCATGATCACGGCCCTGAACTCTAAGCCTACGGACCCCAAATCCACCTTAACTGCAGCTCGAAACCACCCCCCGAAACCAGGCCCACAACAGAGCAACGACGAGCCTGACGGCGCGCACGCATCTTGAAGCAGCCTAGCATGGCTCTGGATTCTAGCACGGGCCCCATGGCCGCGCCCAAACCCGCTTTTTGAACCCTGCCCATGTTCGATTGAAGCCCAAAACGAACCTGGAACCAGTACGAAAGCAAGCCCCGCGGCCAGCTGGGCCAGCTTGTTCTGTTCTGGTGCTCGCTACCTTGCGGTTCAACCTTGGAGTCTCTCGAGCAGCCTGGAGCGAGAGCTTACCACGACCTTCGTGCCTCGAGCGACACGGTCCAGCACATCCTGCACCACGGTGCCGATGCATTCGAGCGACCCATCCCTGCCGGAAAGACCCGGATGGTCGCCCGCCTCGTCGCCGGGTATAGGCCCCTGTTCCGGATCCTGTGGAGGGCCCCATCCGGCCGGACCATGAAGAGGTACTCCATCACCCGCTTGCAGTCGATGTTGGCGTCCATGCCGATGACGACTTTCGCTCCCGCCACAAACGCCTCCAGGCAGGCCAGCACCCTGCCCCGTTGGCTCATGACCTCAGAGTTGAGGTTCGTGAGCACCATGTCCATCTCGTCCATCCCCACGACGTCCATCCTGGATTGCACGCGGTGAATTGAGTTGATGCAGCAGACAACGCGGGGGGCGTTGATAGGCCCTGGTGGCGCCTCCAGGTACAGCACGACGTCCTCCACGCCCGCCTCGACCAAGTCCTGGTGATACTTGCGGGAGAGCGAGATGTTGGCTCCAATAAGGAGGAAGGAGAGCCCAGGGTTCCTCCCGACCATGGCCACCTCCCACTCCACAAACGCCTTCGACTTCCCGACCCCCTTCTTGGCAGAACTCAGGATGGTTCGCTTGCGGACGTGCGTGAGCTCGAACACGGGGTAGGGGCGCATCCTCAGATTCTCTTCGTAATCCTCCGTCCAGCCGAGCGCTGTGAGGACGTCCAGGGGCAGCACCCGACACTCGCCCCTGCAGAAAAGAGGGCAAGAGACGCTCCTGAGCACTGGCATACTGAGCGCCTATGCCATGTGGCACTCAGTCTGTCAACCTTGCGTTAGTCTCAAGACAGACCTGACTGTGGGTCTGAGGTGCCCCCTCCCCCTCTTCGAGAATCAGCTTAACGGCCGGCAACCAACCAGCCCCGAAACCAGCCCAACAACAGCCAGAAGCGATCTTACAATTCGCTCAAAAAAAGCCTCCCCGCGACTCAAACCAGTCCCAAAACCAGGCCCTCTGCAAACAAGAAACGAGCTTGCCATACGCCCAACTTCAGCCTGACCGCGCTTTTGGGATCAGCCAGACTGCGGCTCCAGAACAATCTCGAAAGACCGAGAATGTTCGAGCTTAACTGTACGCCCAAATCAGCCTGATCGCGCTCCTTAATCAGCGAGACAACGGATGCAAAACAGTCTTCAACCAGATCAAGAGCAGCGCAAAAAACCCCTTACTGCGCGCCTCAGATTCAACCCGACAACACTCTCAAGACAACCCAACCACAGCTTAAAGCAGTCCCCAACCAGGCCCACTGCAAACAAGAAACGAGCCTGACCATGCGCCCAGATTCACCCTGACCACACTCTCAAGACAACCCAACCACAGCTTATCCGAAGCAGAGTGAGTTTTTGACTGACGCCAATGACGCCAATGGTGCTGTGCAAGGCAGACCAACAAGTACCATGCTCTTAACTGATGCCAATGATGCTGTGCAACAGTAGACCAGGCTCTTGATTGACAATCAGTGATGAAAGCAATATGATAGAAGGCAGTTTTGCCATGAATGTCCCCACCTTAGCGCCAGCCTGCCGTAACAGACTGTTTCCCACGCGAGGTATGCAGTTGATTTGAAATCAATCATCTGCACGGATTCGCTACCAAAATTTGATGTTAAGGATAGTGGTACGCTGAAGAAGCTTCGCGTTTTCCCTTTTGACCGAGAGTTTGTGGAAAAGCCAAAGCCAAATACTAACGAGCGGCTGATTGATTATCAGCTTTCTGAGAAGATTACAGCAAGTCCCAAACCAGGCCCACTGCAAACAAAAAACGAGCATGACCATGCGCCAAGATTCACCCTGACCACACTCTCTTCACAAGCAACCTGACCGCGCTTTTGAAACCAGCCGGGCTGCGTCTCTGGAGCAGTACCAAAATCAGATCCTCGATCGAGCAAACAAGCCTGATTGTACGCCCAAAGCAGCTTGACCACACGCTCCCTAACTAGCAAGACAGCGGACGCAAACCAGTCTCTAGAACCAGACCCATAGGAGGAAGAAACGATCCTCACAATGCACCCTACTTAACTAGGGTGCCCAAATGAAGCCTAAAACAGTCCCAAATCATGCCTATTGAGAACAGTCTGGAATCTGGATTCACAGCACACCCGAAACGAACTAAGCCTATGTGCCCCTAAGTCTGCACTAACTCCTTTCGACGCCTGAAGCTTTTTTGCCAGTGCAGGTTGACAACCAAGCCATGCCAACGCTTCTCAAAACTTTGCCAACCACTGGGTCGACTCACCTGCAGCTGTTCGCAAAGCATTGGTACCGTGCAATGCGCGGCTCATCCCGCTTGTAGATGAGGTACGGGTTCTGGTTGCCCAGAGACGTGTGGCGCCTGCCCGCGATGCAGCACGTGGGTTCGGGCGAACGGAAGTGGACGAAGAAAACCCCCGGCCGCTCCTGCACCACCCAGTCGAGGGCGGCCCCGGGATGGTCCTGCCTGCAGCGGGCGAGGAGGACAGCCCGCTCCTGCTCGGTGAGGTCCTCACCGGGCCTCTGTGAGGTGCTCGCATCGTCGAGGGCGAGCGCTCTCTGCCGGAAGGCCCCCACGCGGGCCGGAGCAGGCGGAGCGGGCCTCGCGGACGTCCACTCCCCCAGGAGGTCAGCGCTGATCTCGGTGGACACCCTCCGCTCCGCTTCCGAGTAAAGGCAGACTAGGTGGTCCGCGATCCCCTCGGAGCTGCCCTCCGAAGGGATGAGGGGGCGGAAACGGTCCCCGAATTTGGACGACCTTAGCAGTCGGAAGCAGCGCCGGCGGTCATAAACTGAATCGTCCCACACATATTCGGATCCACCGTCTTTCCTTAAGAGCTCAACACTGAGCTTCAGGTCGTCTGGGGGGCTCTCCAAAAAGCACTGGAAGGCCTTCCCGAATGCTCTCCTGGCTTCTAACCCCCCCAGGTAGAATCCCTGGAGCACCTCGTGCACGCTGTACTTGAACCCCTGCTTCGGTGGCCGCGCTTCACCATGCGCCTCGCACGCCTGGAAATGGAGCGCCGCCTCAGGGACGTTGAGCACCGAGGTCAGGAAACGATCCCGAACCGAGTGGAAAGCCTCCAGGCGCCGCTCCCAATCGCTGCGGTTCTCGACAGGGGCCGAATTGTCCAGGTCAAAGTAGATGCGCCAGCAGGCATCGTCTTGAATGATCTCGTACCAGTGAGCGTACGGGCCGATCAACCTCCGATGCGCTACCAAAGCTGCAATATCTTGGAAGCTGCCATACCGTTTTGCCCCGTTCCTGTTGAGGTCCTCGGCAACCAGGACTGTGTGCCCGGCTGCCCGCTGTTGCTGGAGCGCAATATCCAACTTTTTGCACCAGCCGGGCCCCCTATCTTCGACTGATGCAGCCTGGGGGGGCTCCCTGGGCAGCTGCGCAGGCGGCTCCATGGGCGGAAGTGGGGATGATGGCTCTGCAGACGGCTCAGGTGCAGCGGGCTGACTTGTGTCCGCTGCCGGGAGCTGGTTTGGCAGGACGACGGGCGCCTGCTCCTGGTGGGCGAGGGGAGGGGAAGGGGCGACTGCTGGGGGCTGACCCGGGACAACCTCGGCCCATGCATTGTCGGCGGGGCGCGGGGCTATGACCAGGGGCACCTGGGGCTGGTCAGCGAGGGGGTGAGAGGGTGGGTGCCCAGTGGGGAAGGGAGGCTCACGGGGCTGCGAGAGGGAGGGAGCCAAACCCTGAACCTCATCCATGGAAGGCTGGTTGGCCGGCGGCGACGGTGGGGCCTGATCATCTTCTACTGCGGATGAAGAGGGGGTCTTCCTCCCACTAGGAACAGGCGCACTCGAAGCGGGGTCTTCCGCCCGAGAAGAAAAAGACATGGACGGCAGAGGGGACGAAGGGCTCGCGTTGCGGATAGTGCGGGCCAAGGCATCCCCCGTCCCGCATGCACCCAGGGGGCGCACGCGCCCATATGTTTTCAACCGCTCCTCTCGCGCAGCCGCCTCTTCAGCGCCTCGCTTGGCTTGCAGGCGGTCTACCAGAGCTCCAATGTCTGGAATGGGAGCGTCAGTCACCAAACCCTGCAGCAGTTTGAAGAGGGTTTATGTAAGCACCCAAAACCACGCCTGAGAACCTTGGGTCCCTGATTATCAAGGTGCTAACATGCCAATTAACGATCCGAGAACATATATTGGGCAATCTTCCCCAGCAAAGCGCGAGCGATGCATCCTGTTTGTCAGGGTTTGGGGGCCAGTTGCATACGCACAAGCCGATTGCTTGCGCCTTGACCTTTGCCTTAACCTGGATGTTGATCCTAACCTTAACCTCACGCATCAAATAGGTAGGGCCAACCGCATCGCGGTTCAGTGAGCTGCAACAGAGGGAGGTGTTCTACCAGGCATCTTACGACGGGTGGCGCATGGCGCGGGCCTCCAAAGTCACCAAGCTCGGTTTATGTACAGCTTGCTCTTCACGTTGCATTCCGGAGGCCTTCAATGCCCCTAGAGTTCGGCGGTGAGCTTCAACGGCCGCTCGACTGGCCGCCCGAGCTGCCTCATCCACTAAGACAGGGTTTGGTTTTACCCTTTTGCTGTGGAAGCAAAAGGAGAGGTCGGGTCAGGACTGGGAATGTCTGCAGCACTAGTGGTTGACGGCAGGCCTGCTCCAGAAGCAATCTACCCAAGCTCTGGGACAATGCGATGAACCCCGCCTCAATTGAAAGGGGTGCCCTTGCCATTCGCAATCCTCAAAGAGCGCCACTTGCATCTGAGGGCAAACGAATGAGACGTACGCCAAAATGAGGAGACAAAGCAATCAGCTGAGCCAACGAGCTCACCGGGGCTTCTTCGGAACCGGCCGGCCATCCTTGGCGCCACCGGTGTTGATGGCGTCGCTTCGCCGTCCTGGTCCTGTACCTGAAGGCCAACGGGTCGGCAAACGTGTGAGCTAAAAATGAGCGCAATCGCAGCAATCAAAGTACCGCTGATGTGTGTGATGGGGCTGGAATCTGCAGAAGCGAAGCCAGGTTCTAGCCAGTTTAGGATGGCCTTTGTGGGAGAGGCAAATGGCAAGGAGCAGCCAATGAAGCATTGGGCACGAGATGAGGGCATGCAAGTGGCACTGTCCTGGCGAGCTTGGCAACGCGTGCCACGTAGAGGACGGTGCTACAAAGATGCAACATGGCCAGAGGCTCACCATCACCCCAATCTCTCCAGCTGATGGCACCGCCGTCGATTCCATAGCAGCCCCACTCGGGGGCACGTCATGCAGCAGGAGGTCTGTCTCCGCCCAAGGATCCTCTCCAGGAGGCGCCTGATCACAAGCAGCAAGCGGAGAAAGACATCTGTCAAGTTCAGGCGCGAGACCTGCGCTATCTGGGTGGAAATAAGCGCCTGATCAACGAGATCAAGATCATCGGGGAAGACCAGGAGCGGCTGCCGGACGACCATCCCCCCAGGGTCTTTGGCCAGATACGCCCAGCAGTGACAACCCTCAGAATTGATCAGAGAACTAGAGGATGCTCACTTCGGAAAGATGCGCCGCGGCGCCATCAAGCACTAGTGTGTCCCCTCCCGATGCTAGGGAACACTCCCCTTCCGCCCGGATTCCCACTGAAGATGGCCCCGGATTGCTCTCGATTCCGCCCATCATCAGAAGCTTCGCTGCAAACGATCGACCAAACTAGATTGATCGTTGACGTAGATAGGCAGGCGACCGTGGAAATGACCAAGAATCTCAGCAGAGCGAGTGGGCGATCTTATGAGGGCAGAACACTGAAGCGTCAAGGCTCTTGAGCTTCAATGTATCTTTTGCGCACACAGCTGAGGCCTGTTCTGAACCTTTTTCCAACGTCCGGGGTTTCACTGATGGTACGGTTAGGGGCCAAATGTGAAGCCGGATCTCACTTCCCATTATGATCATCTAAGCAACTTACCGATCAGATGTCTGCTTTTCGGTGTCGCGTCCCTCCAATATCCGTCTTGCTGCCAGACGTTGCCACCTGTCAAGGAGAGGGAAGGCAATCAATCTTTTGGTATGCTTCGGGGCAATGGGAAAAGGCTCGAAAGAAGCCTCCAAGCTTTGCGTGGAGAGGTCCGCAGGTAACATACAGACAGATTGCAATTTGAGACCAGCTCTGCAAAGTGAGGGGTTTGCGCTCGTGATCAAGTGAAGAGTGCACCAGGCGAGCCCTCACCCCTCTGATGTGACTCCTCGTCAAGGGCTCGTGCCAGTTCCGCCTTCACTTTGTACACTTCACAGCTCCGTGCCCACTCTGCAGGATGCCGCGAAGCACATGTCTGTGCAACGAGCGCTCACATACAAGGCATAGCATGCCTACACAATCTGCATACTTGCATGGTTGGGTGGGCACAACTCTTGATCAAGCAACTGATGTAGAGGTCTAGCAGCCCTCAGGAACCGTGATCTTACCCCCGACGGTGCAGCAGCAGCTGCATAGGGCTCACCTGCGCGGGTCCTCTCCAACATGAAGAATCGCTTGAAGTCGCGATGCACACAGCAGGAGTACTTTAGGTTGCCCCCTTCCTTGCTTCCGCGCAGCCCATGGGTTGCAGGGGCACCACATTCTTCGCAGTAAGCAGCGTGCGAAACTGGTGAGGAAAGACAGAGAACAGGGATCAGGAACACACTTCAAGAAGTGTCAGACTTCAGCAAGTGTTGCAGAAGATGCTCGCCCTTAGAGGATTTCTGGCAGATGCGATAAACACACGACACTTGAAAACAACAAGCTGGGTAGGTCCAGGAAAGTGTCCGGCATGGGGCTGACAATTTGCACCACCAGTCTATGCATGCAAGCTTCTCAGCCGGTGCAAATTGTCAACCCTCGAACCATCGATCACCACAGAAAGTAGCCGGGAAAAGGCCCAGCATGGGGCTGACAATATGCACCACCAGTCTATGCATGCAAGCTTCTCAGCCGGCGCAAATCATTCAGGCCTCGAACCATTAATCACCACAGAAAGTAGCCAGAAAAACGCCCGGCATGGGGCTGACAATATGCACCACTGGACTAAGCATTTGAGATTCTCACCCGATGCAGATTGTCAGACCCTCGTATTTATCCGAGAACCAAGGACAGCGCCCGGTATGGGGCTGGAGCTGACAATCTCTACCAGCCGTTCTTTGACATCTTGGGTGGAGGAGCAGTGAGACTTGACCAGCCATTCTTGGCATGAGAGCTTCAGAGCTCCCCTGGACATTCATAGCGTTGCAAAACCCGTTGCACCCCTGTACTGTTGCAGAATCGAACCTATTGCACCCCTGTACTGAAAGTGGACAACTGATTGAACATCACAGAGGCCCGATCAAGGTACAGGTCTGCAGGTGCATGCTGCTAAGTTCTCACCGTTGTCCCCGACAAAGAAGCTAGTGAGTCGCTCCCTTGCTTTCGGTCCAGCTCGGGGCAGGTCCTGATTCGTGGCAGCTGGGCTCGTGGGCGCTGGGTTTGTGGAAGCCCTGTGCGCTCTGCGGGAGGTTGTCGGTGGTCGCTGCAGCCCCTCCAGGTGGGCCTGCATGATCGACTTCAAGACATCCTCAAAGCCCTTTTGCAGGCCCGCATCTGCAGTGCTCGCCAGCGCCTCGAGCCCTGCCATCGCGGCATGCAGGCTCCCATCCCAGGC